GCCACTTGGAAGTCGTGCGATTGCTGCTTGAGGCTGGAGCTGACAAAAACACAGCAAGGACAGATGGGTTAACGCCTTTGCTCATGGCTGCGCAGAACGGCCACTTGGAAGTCGTGCAATTGTTGCGTGAGGTTCGAGATGACAGGTGAAGTTGTGTGATAGTTTTTGCAAAGGTGCAGCACAGGCAAATGGAGGCTGTGACGAAGGTCAAGCCAAGGCAAATGGGCAACCGCTTGCAAAAGATATGCAGTACGCAGTGTTCGTTCATTGGATGATTTTATTACTGTTGAAGACGGGAGCATGCTCCCCCAAACCACAATGATGTTGGCCTACGGATATGGAGGGCATGCTTCAATCAAAATCATTCATAGTATCTAAAGGGGACAAAAAGGATCAAAAACGGTTGTTTTGATGCTGAAAACGCACTACAGGTGCATCCTTATATCAATTCAGTAATATGACTGTGGGTCATGCCACCCTGGCGGTTGAGGCTGAGGTCTTGTCACACCTTGCATCTATAATATATATATATATATATTTATGCGTGTGTAGCTCACATAGGGAGACCTCCCAAAGAACCCCCGGAAGAAGGGACATGGAGAAAAAACTGTTGGGCCAGGGTGGCTCCCCATCTCCCATTTAAAAACACGCCCATATGCACCATGACGTTGTTACATGTTGTTACCAACCCTCATGAAGTGGAAGACTCTGTCCACAAGTGGTCAGACCCGGCACCCATGTTCTCGCACGAGACACGTCGACGGTTTTTGTTCGTTCATGTTCAAAGCGGCAACGGCTCAGCTGCTGAAGCATTCGAAAGAGGTTACCTGCTGGCCATCATCGCCGATATTTTGAAGGCTGGGCTGCTGCGCTGGGTGGGTTCCAGAGTGGAACAACGGGTTCGCTTGGGCTTGAGTGATCTCTTCGCAGAAGGGGTCAGAACGAAACAAGCAAAGCGATGGTAGGTGTGAAGATGGATTTGCACACATTTGCACCAGGGCCGGGAGTTTGACTCAGCTAGTGATAGATACACCGTGGACTTGATGTTTGTCGTGTAGCTATACCGCTAAACCGTGGAAGTCCAGAACCTATTTGGGGGTGCAGTAGCACAGGCAAAACGTTGTTGCGTACCACTCGAGGGTCTGAGACTACTCGCTCACCGCTTGATACTTTTTGTGGTCAGGGTAGATCATGGTAGATCTACATGTCTTACAAAGGCCAGGGTCTGAACTCCTTTCTACGCGAAACGACGAACGTCCAGGGGCGAGTTCACGTGGGAGTCCGTGCTCCTCGTCCGACCAGTCAGACCGGGCCCACACGGTCGTACGCGTGGTCAGACGACGCAACGGTGGGAGGTCAGACGACGGGGCTGAGTCCGCCATGGTCGAACCGAGCGGACCTGGTCGAACCGAGCGGACCGTGAACCATTCGTTAGACCGTGCACTCGAGTTGTTGGGTGAAAACGTGCGAAGCGCTGGGCGAAACCTTGGGTTTTTGTACTTGACTTAGCTGCAACTATGCAGCTTTGGCTCCTGGGCGAGGGAAGTCTCATGGGGATGTGAATTAGATAAACCCCGAGAAAGATGGACTATTAATACACCAGGACCCTCCAAGGGGTGTCCAATGGACTACCCCACACTACCTATAGGCTTCCATTGGGCACCCCTTGGAGGGTCCTAGCATAATTATTTTTATGCTGCATGCTACAGTATAAATTACCATGTTCGGCTCATGGTTCCTCTATGTTTGTCTCATCCCTCGATGCCGGGGATGACCTTAACTCAGTCAATAGTAGCTGGGGATGACCTTTTGCTGCTTCTAAATCGTCTACCTAGCACTTCCAACGGGTGCCCTGTTTGGAGACCTGTAAGTAGGGTAGGGTAGTTCTATTGGACACTCAGACAGGATGATCCTGGTAGATCTGGTAGGATGGATTCAGCTCCATCAACGATTCATGACGGGACCGTCGTCCTTTCCCCACGTGACGTCCTTTCGAACTGGAAACCCCAACGCAGCGAACCACCACAAGTCGCACTGCGATGCCGGGGCTCCGTGAGAACACACCGAGTCCAGCAACGTCCGCCATGGCGGACGCCCCGCGCTTGCCGGCCGAGCTCCAGCCGCTGTGGGCGATCGTCTCGCAGGCCGACGGTCGACCGTCTACCCCGCAGTTGTTCGTAGAATGCATGTGGAAGTGAAGGGTGGTTCTCCTTGAATTCTGGCGGTGGTTTGGGGTGAGCTCGTGGGTTCAATCTTGTCTTCGATTCTACTTGGAAGCCTGGAAGTCATCCTTTCAGCAGAGTCAGCACATCAAAGGGCCATCTTGCTTTCAGGACACCCAATGTAGCTGCTAGTTGGCACACCAACAAACCCACCCCCCAACGGCCAAAGTAAAACATCATGGACACGGTGTGCGAGCAAGACAATGTGAAGTCAGAGAAAGATATACTTTTATCAACCCTTTCACACCCGAGAGGAAACCCCAATGCCGGTGTCGAGATGCAGTTGAGTCCTTGCAACTTCTCAAGTGAAGCGCTACTGGGGAGTTGGCCTCCAAGAGAATGTGGGGAGCGGTTGGCTCACGCCGCTTGGCACCTTTCCACTCCTGGTGGGGTCCCAAAAGATGCTGCAGGAATGCAGTGCCAGCTGCTTGGCGATGCTGGAGCCGTCGCCCAGCTGCACTGGAAACGCCCCGCGCATCTCCACGAATCTCATACTCCGTCGCCCTGTCAGTGGATAGCCTTGGACCTCTTTGGGGGATGAGTTTCTCCGAAGCTTTAGTTTGGCCTCTTTGGGGATGAGTCTCTCCAAAGAGGTCATCCTCTTTGAGGTCAGTTTCTTTGGGGATGAGTTTCTCCACCAAACCTCCACCAAACCATGACCTCTCAATGTCAACGATTGTTTGCTGGCCGAAGATGTAGTATAGGACCACAGTGTGGTGACCACACCACGTCGACATCCACAGACCGAGAGAGACCATGACCCTCTGCAGGTGTTCGTGCCATGCTGGACGGATGTGGCGGCGGATCACGGATCGAGATCATCCGACATGTCGGACATCCAACGGACTGGAAGTCGACCAACTCTGCAGTCTGAGGCATCTCAGCATGTTTGTCCAAGTGGCAGATCTGGCCAATCAGCAGGGACTGCCAAGGCTGAGAGCTTTCTTGAAGTGCATAGGCCGGCGCGACGCGTCGCGTCGGAGTACCCAACGGCATGTCTCCGTGGTTGGAGTCTCGGCATGTCTCGGAGGGCTGCCATTGCCCACCAGGGGCTCCTGGCCGTACTACTAAGAAGCGACTAATTAGGGGCTCCTGGCATTGCGAACCGAACGGAGCGATCGGCTCCGCTACTTAGCGCTTTTCTCCTGGCCTGTCAAATTTCACGAGCTATGGTTTTTTTGCTGTTTTTATGGATTCTAAGGGTTTAGTGTGTTTTGGATGCCTGGGGTCATCTGGGGGTCAACCCACTCAGCGCTAAATCAGCTCACGCTTTCTTTTTTCCCCGGTGAACTGTCAGCTGTTCACTTCTTTGATGGTCGACCCCTTTTCTTCGCTTCTGGCTCCTCAGAAACACTATCTCCAAATGGACATGGAGCTTTCAAGGTGTGACATTCAAGGTGTACGAGCAGGGAGGACTCCAAAACTTGTACATCCAAACAGCAACAAGGAAACGCCAAGACAGGCGACAGGCAGACTGTCCTGTCCCAGCAATGAGGACAAGGCTTCAAAAACATACTAAAAGCATCTAAGAACACGTCACAAAAGGACCATGCTCGGAATATAAGCAACAATCAGTCCTTCGGAAGGTTTTGCTTTCTTTTCTTTGCAAGATCCTCCTGGATGCATGTCGGTCGTTGGTCAGTGGTGGGCCTGGGAACTTCTGGTATATATATATATTATATATTATATAGCTTTTGGTGGGTCGGAGCGGAGTGGGTCGACTTGACTTGAATTAAATTAGCTACGAGTAGAAAGGATTGAAGGCACAAATAAAAACACAATAAAAAATATAAACCACAACGACAGGCAGCCCCTGTCCTTTGCCGTCTCCTTTGTTTTTGCCTTTTTCTTTGGTGGTTCAGGCTCGGTCGCCCAAGGTAGTGTGACTTGTGTTTTTCCTTCCTTGTGACCTGCGGCTTCCATCTTAGATGGTGCGACTTGTGCTTCCTCTTCCTTGCGACCCGCTGCTTCCGTGTCAGGCGGTGCGACTGTTGCTTCTCCTTCCTTGCGGTCTGCCACTGCCTTGCCAGGTGGTGTGACTTGTGTTTCTCCTTCCTTGAGACCTGCTGCTTCCGTGTCACCTGGTGCGACTTGTGTTTCTCCTTCCTTGTCGTTTGCCACTGCCTTGCCAGGTGGTGTGACTTGTGTTTCTCCTTCCTTGAGACCTGCTGCTTCCGTGTCACCTGGTGGGACTTGTGTGTCTCCTTCCTTGTCGTTTGCCACTGCCTTGCCAGGTGGTGTGACTTGTGTTTCTCCTTCCTTGAGACCTGCTGCTTCCGTGTCACCTAGTGCGACTTGTGTGTCTCCTTCCTTGTCGTGTGCCACTGCCTTGCCA